AGATCTACTGACAAAAAAAAAAAAAATGTGTATGATCACATTCGTCAACAGACATGTGCCAAAAGGTAAAAAGTTTCTTTTTTAATCGCCTTACATCTTCACATTCAACAAAGAATTACTGTGAAAAGGATCTGGTCTCATTTAAAACACACACAGAGGCACATACTTAACGCTCAGTGTTCTGAGGCTAAGCCGACGTTAAGCAGGTGTTGTACGGAGCTAGACTGGGATTGGGCTTATTACCAGCCAGAGTGCAAATTGGCACAGCTGTAAAATGGGTTAATACAGCCACCTAACCCTCGTGGTGTTTGCTGCTTTGAGGATAAAATCCGAATCTTTGGCTCAAGGCCTTCACAAAAGCAGGGTGAAGACTCTGTCGAAGGTACAACCTCACCAATACTGAAATTTTAAAAAGTCATTAAGCCACTAAAGTCTCAAACATTCTTTTGACCATCCTACCCCACGGCCTCTGAAAAAGGGGGGGGGGTAGATACTCAGCAAGCCAGGGGAAAAACAAATAGAGCCACTTAAAAGCTTTATCTAATTACCCCCACTGAGACTTTTTCTCGCTGCAGTCTGGCCGGCTGACAAAGAAATGGGGATGGGAATAGGGGTGGGGGGGGTGGGGGGGTGGGGGGGTGTTCCCTGGGCCTTCTCTACCTTATCAGGACCACCCGCCGTCAGGGAGTCCCGAGAGGCCTCAGGTGAATCCTGCAAGGGCAGGCAAGTACCCAGTCTCCCCATTCTTGGGGACTTCACAGAGGCTTTCAAATTCTCTTAGCATTACTTGCTTGAATCACACTGAGCAAACATCTCCACCCTCTCCCACTTCTTTTGTCTGAAGCACCTATTCACAGGCCGCCACCTTCAGTGATGCGCAGACGGGCTCACCTGTCCCCTGGAGTACCGATGGCAACAAGATGCACCAGGGGCTGGAAGAGACCGCGCCCTGAGCCCTCCTCCCAGCTTCCCTTCCTCTCCACCCCCGGGTGGTGGTTGGGGGGGGGGGAAGCACCGACTCCACTCCACGCTGGCTTCCCTTCGTAGGAACAGCGAGCACCCAGAAGGTGCCAAGAGGCCCAGGACCAGCACACAAAAAGTCAGCCTCCCTCACTCCTCATCACCTTCCTCGCGTGGCCACCTCCGTTGTGGCGAAAACACAGCAGATGGTTTTCCTCTCTACTCTCCCTTCTTGGGGAGTGGGGAAATTAAAAATAAGTGATGCATTTCAGAAAGCACATCGTATGCCTCCCCCTGTGTTTCATATGGTACACCTTTTACCTCTGATTTATGGGGAGGCCCCCCCGGGGCGTGGAAATCACACTCTGACCCCTGCTTTTTGAAGAGGGCCAGGGCTCTTTCTACTCAAAAATCACTTTCTAGGTCTCAGAGAGAAAAGAGAACCCATGCACTTTGCCCCCCTCCCAGGGAGGCCATCTAATTTCTTAACGGTATTTGGAAATAAAAAACGTTGGTCAACTCTCTGCCTGTCTGGTGGGTCAGATGGACACAAGCAACGGTGAGGCAGGGAAACCTCTGACTTAGAGCAGGCTTGCCCTGCAACCAAGAGATGATGCTTAACAACCATGGCTCCAGGTAGACCTCAACCATTTTATCTCACTGTACAATTTCGAGATGCTCATACGTACTTGCAGCAGAAATGTGAAGTAAATCATATTATTATTATTATTATTTTTTATATTTGGCCACCCTTCCAAAGAGACTCCAGACCTAATACAATTCTATTTTCCACATGGTATTAAAAACTGGGCTGAATAAACTCTGATGGGGAGATGGAATCCTATCAAAGCCTAATCTAATCTCAGAAAAGGGGGAAGACAGCTATTGTCCTGTTATCAGGAGGGGCTACACCGCAGACTTTCTCTGGATACTATATTACCTTTCTACCTTCTGAATGCAAATCTGTTTAATAAAGAGTATAAAGTAAGACATCCCTCTGTGGATGAGCTAGATTTTCCAAAACAAACTGAACAAGCTGCTATGAATAAACGAAGTAAAGTGATGTTACACACGTATGTCCTCAGGAAGGAGGGCTGAACCTGCACACACCGGTATCACACAAGAAGTCAGCCCAGACGAGCTGCCATCTGACACCAGAGTTGGTCAGAGAGCATGAACTTCAATTAAAAGACACTTACAAAAGAGAGAGATTATTTAAATATGATAACGAAAACAAAACAAACCCAACAGCCAACCTTCCTAGGTCAGAGGACATGGAGGATCCAGAAATTAATTAAATCTAGTAAATAATGTAAAACAGGGAAGGACTCCCTTTCAAAAATGCTCTGGTTAATTTTAGCATCTTCTGTTTAGCTGCTTAGCAACCCTTATCCTATGACCTTTTAAGCACCACCTACTTTTCAGAAGGATAATGAATAGAAACATCAAAAGGATTCACTTCTGACTGTTTCTAGTGAGCCTGTTTAACCAATTTTTTGCAGAAATTAAATTTATATTAATTATGTCACACAAAACCCTAAAAGGGTAGGATTTTTTGGCGCCACGAACCAGGAATTTTCTTTTGCCAGAGGTAATAAATGATGTTCACAACTGAGCATAAGGACAGCAAGCAAAGATTTCCAAACTGACCTGAGGAAGTGGATCAACACAGCAGTTTAAAATTGAAGAGTAAAAATGCAAGCCACATAATGGCAACTAGCTATTGCCTGAGCAGCAGATAACCAATAAACAACTTGATCAGATGCACACGAACCAGGTAGGCTTATTTTTCTCCTTCAACATTCTATACCTGTGTTGGATGCAAATAAGATCTCAGGAGTCTGCCTGAAGATATCTAAAATAAAAGACCCTTCAATCAAAAGGTCATTTGTTGGATGATGTAAATAGTTAGGAATGGATGCACCACCTGTGCCAGCTGAGTCAGACTCATCTTCCCCATCACATAGCAAACACTTGTCTGCCACAGGGCTTAGGCTCTGAATTTCTGATGAGAAACTAAGCAGTTATCCAGAAAAACCCAGAGAACGATATGCCCCGTAACAGTAAGCATCAGCAACGTTTCTGAAGTTATCATACAACCAGCAAATCCTTAAAAAAAAAAAAAAATTCCTCAAATGCAACCTGCTTGGCAGTACTTTTAAGAATGATAAAACAGTGCAAGTTCATTAACAACCTAAAATGGAGCACAAGCTAAACAAATAACTAAATCAAAGGGCTCTCTCCCTTTCTTTTGTAAAAGTGGGGGTGGGTGGGAGAGGAAGGTGTTTTTTCACACATTTAAAACTTGATAAAAGACATTCAAATGTTTAATTCATCAGTGTAACCAAAGCTCAAAACACATCAAAGCAGGATCCATCAGCGGGTACCCAGAAAGCTCCCTCCAAAATGCAGAGGTAAAACACAAACAAACAAACAAACAACAAACAACCCCTAACATTAGTTAGTGGCTCACCGATGCATAAATTATTTGAAGACTAACTTGGAACCCATTTCTTCAGAAGTTCTGTGTGACTCTTGAAGGAAGCACAGAACTAGATGTTTAAGGGAGGGGAAAAAAAAAAAAAGTTTCAGCCAAGACTCCAGCCTCTAGCTCAGACTTCCGGGTTACACTAGATCTTAGAACCATACCTGCCTACTCGAAAAAGCACCAGGTCTAGAGGATGCTTTTAAGGGCGATGGGGAGAAGAAGAAAAAACAAAACAAAACCCCACACTAACAAAACCCATCCTTTGCTCTGCAGTTCCCTTTTCTCTACCTTCCACTTCAACTTATTTCAGAATACACTCACGCGCATGCACAGACCGCTTCATGCCTAAAAGGCAAAAAGACCTCAAAAATATGGGATGCACATTAGCAGCTCAGCAGCCTGTGCAGAAATCCTCTCCAGTCTCCTCTTCGAGACCGAAATACCTCGCTATTTCCAGCATCCCTATCCAACAGGCAAACTTTATTTCCACTGACTTTCAAAAGTCTAGGCTTTCCCTCTCAACCACCCTAGAACAAGCACGGGGGCGAATTTTTCCTACTGATGGAAACAGACAGGTTTTTCAGCATACCAAAAAAAAAAAAAAAACAACAACTTATTTTTTCATTCGCCCTTCTATCTCTCCGCACCACCACCAGCCACCATCCCCTTTCCCCCTCTCCCAAAAAAAGAAAAAAAGAAAAAAAAAAAGAAAAAAAAAAAAGAAAAGAAAACTCCAAAGTGCCCCGAATGTGTGCTGCCGCTGGCTCTGAAGCCGTGTAGAATTTCGTAATGGAATGTGAACTGCTCGTCCGGATCTGGGCTCACGTTCTATCTTCTAACCAGTAAGGAGCGAGGGAGGGCAAATCTGCTGAGCAAGGAGAAATACTTTCCTCCTCTTTTATAACCCATCACGGATGCACCGCGGACGCCGGACGCGAGCTGCACGCGGCGCCTGTCAAGCCGCCCGCCCGCCCGCTGCCCCGCGTCCGCGCCCCCCGCGCCCCCCGCGCCCCGCACCCGCGCGCCCGGCCCCGGGGGAGCGACCCCCGGCCCCTTGCACAAGGCACGCCGCTTCCCAGGGAGGGGGCCGGCGACGGGAAGGACCTCCCCTGCTCCTTAGCAACCACTAAGGTCGCAGTTTCCTAAGAGACCGCGAGTGGGGAGGGGGCGCGCGCGCGGGGAGGGGGACGCGCGCGCGCGCGCGGGGCACCGGGAGCGAAGGGGGGGGCGGCCCTGCCCTGGGTCCCCCGCCCCCGGGTCGGTCCCCTGCCCCTCGGCGCCCAGCCTTGCCCCCGACTCCCGATCCTCCCCCAGCTCGGCGCTGCGGGGCCGGGATGGGAGGAGGCAGGGAAGCCCCAGAACTCGGGGAAAATTGGTCCAGCGGGCGGCGGACAAAAGTTTCCGAGCGCGCTGCACAGCTGGGCGGCGGAGCGGGCCCCGCCTCGGATGCTCCCGGCCTCCTTCCTGTGCTCGTGACGGCGCCGGGTGCCGAGGGCCCCCCCCACCCCTCCCCGCCCCCCCCCCGCCCCGCGATGCAGGCTCCGCTCCACACCGATGGCTCCCACGAAAACACGTCCACCGCCAGCGGAAGGGCCGGGGAACAATACGCGCGGACGCGGCTCCGGCCCCCGCCCGCCCCGCTCCCTCCCTCCCGGGCCGCCCGGGGGCGGGGGGCGGCGTGACCCCCGGCCGGGAGGGGGCCGCCGCGGCGAGCGGGGGAGGGCGCACGGCGGCCCGCGGCCCCCTCCCGGCCGGCGCCGTCCGCGGGGAGGATCAAAGTCCGCGGCGCAGGGCGCGGCGGATGCTCCCACCGCGCAGCCCCGCGCGGGCACCCCCGGGAGCGCCCCGGGCCGGCGGGCACCCCCGGATACCTGGCGGCGGCGGGCGGGCGCCGTCATCCCCGCGCTCCTCGGCCCGAGCGGGACTCGAAAGTATGTAGGAGAAAAGTTTCCCCTCCCACATGGGGGGGGTGGATGTCGGGGGGGAGCGAGGGCGGAAGATGGAGAGCGGCGCTGGGAAGATGTCTCTGGCCGGCCGTGCGCGCACCATCCGAGTCCCCGGCGGCGCTGGTTAAAAATAAATTCCGCGGCGGGCGCGGCGGCGCGGGTCGGGCCGGATTCCTGCGCTCGGGCGGCTAATATGGATGCGCATCAGGTCCCGGCGGCGCGGCGCGGCGCGGCGCTGCGGCGGCCGCGGCGGCTCGCGCTGGGAGCTGGTTGGCAGAGCCGGCGGCTCGGGAAGGGGAAAAGGAGCGGAGGAAGGGGAGGAGGAGGAGGAGGAGGAGGAGGGGAGGAGGGGAGGAGGAGGAGGAGGAGGAGCGGCCCGGCGCGCAGCCCGAGGGGAGAGGGCTGCCCGGCTCATCCCCGGCCGGCCCCGCCGCCCCGAGCGCACGCAGCGCGGCGTGGGGCGCTCGGGTCCTCGGCTCCGGGAAACGCCGAGTTTTTTTAAAAAAAAAAAAGAAAAAAGAAAGAAAGAAAAAAGTACAACGCGCTCCGCACACGGCACCCTCCCCATCCCCAAAAGTTCTTTAAAAGGTCGCTCCCGCTCCGCCCCGGAGCTCCCGCCGCCGCCCGAGGGCCGGCGGCCGGAGCCCGGGGCGCGTACTTACGGCCCGGCCGGGGCGCTCGGCTCGCAGGCATGATGCGGCGGGCACCGGTGGGCTGCGGGCGGAGGGAGAGGAGAGATGCAAACTTGTTCCGGAAAAGGAATCAAAATGGCGTTTCTGGATGTGCAAAGTTCATCAACTCCGCAGTCACTTCCCCTCCTCCTCTTCTCCCGCTGGGAGGGCGGTGGGCGAGGAGCTGGCGACCCCGGCGCCCCAGCCGTCGTCCCGGCCCCCGCCGCGGCCCCCCGCCCCGCTTCCCGGCCGCACGCTCGGAGGCTCGCTCTCCCCCTCTCACCCTGATAAGTAGACACATCACGTGTTGCTCCTGCGAGTCTCCTGGGGACGTGTTACTGAGCGGCGGCGGCGGCGGCGGCGGCGGCCCGGGCCCCGGCCCCGGCCCGGGGGTGGGGGTGGGGGTGGGGGGGCCCGGCCCCCGCGGGTCCCCGCGGGTCCCCGCCCCCGCCCCGACCTTCGCGGGGCGGCCGCCGCTCGCATCCCGGGATGGATGGAGGTGGAGCCCCCCCACCCCCACCCCCACGGCGGCCCCGGGTCGGCCCCACGCCCTCCGCCGGCGCCCCGGGGGGAGGGGGCTCGGCCCCGCGCTCGCCGGCCGGCCGCCCCCCGGGACCACCGCGCCCCCGCCCCGGCAGCCGCCTCCCCGCCCCGGCTTCCCATCACTTCCCTGCAGGGTTTGTTTCACTATTTTAACGGAGGACACGGCGAGGCAGCGATGCCCGGGAGGCCGGGAGGGGGGTGGCGTGGGGGGTCCCCGGGGGGGCGGACCGCGGGCGACCCCCCCCCACCCCCCGCGCCGCTCCCGCCCCACGCGGTCCTCGCGCTGCATCCAGGTGGGGCGGGTGGATGATGGGGCAGGCGATTAAGGAACCAGCGCTTCACCCCGCCCCCAACTTAGGGCTGCTTCTCTCCCAGGCCCCGGTCCTTGTAAGCTCCGGGGCAGCAGCCGCCCGGGCCCGGGAGCGTGTTCTCCGTCCAACAAATCCCAAGCGGACTTGGCTTCTGTCAGCTCCCCTTCCCCACGCTCCACGACTGACGCTCCGGGCCCCGGGCGGGGGGCAGGGGGGGAGGGAGGGGGCTGCCCCCACCCCCGCCCCTTCCCGGGCTCCTACCGCCCCCTGCGTCCCCACCCCGCGACGGCACTGCTGATGCTGTGTCATCCACGTCGCCCTCCGAGGCACCGGGGAGGCACCGGGGAAGCCACACGCAATATCTCTCACTTTCAGAGCCTCCTGTCTCAACTCTGCAACGCAGGGGCCCTCCTTGGAGCTGCTCCTTCTCCATCCCCAGGGCGGCTGCCACCGCGCTGGGCTGGCCTCGGCGGGGCTTAGGCGGCCCAAGTTATCACCGAGCCCCAGAGACACCAGGCCTGGGCTGTGCTTCCTCCAACAAGCCACTGACACGCTTCCTTCCCACTGTGCATACTTTTCCTACAGGGCTTCTGCGAGGGGGGCCTGTTGGTGGCCCTTGGAAACCTCTTTAGACAGATAGGGGAGGACTGTGGTTTTGGAAAATAAACATCACCCCACCCGGCCAGTTTCTGAGGACAAACGTGCCTCCTAACTAGTTGTAGAGAAGACTACTGTAGAGCTAGGGCGTTGCAGATGAGTTAGGCAAGGCGGGGTGATAGGGTTGCTGCTGGCTTCTCTCTACGGACCGTGACCTTTGACCTCGGCTCTCCCACTCGGGCTCCTGTGAGGACACTTGGGTGCCACACAAAGTCGAACACGCCGTCATGGGTGGGCCTTTGATTTGCGGCCTCCCGTGGAACTCTGGTTCTCAGGGCTGCAGCTGGAAAGAAGTGTCTGTCCAGGCATGGATGAAATGAATGGATTCTGGCCAAGATAGAACTTTACAGAACCAAGCAAAAACAGTTGGACCATTACCCCTGACGGGAACTGATTCAGCTGCTGGTCTCTCTGACGTCCAGAATCATCAACATTAAGTTTTCAAAACCTGTTATGTTTCCCAGGGTCTACTGTTTACTGAGGAAAACTAGTCAGAGGAACTTCGGCACTTGCATTTTCCTATGCCTCCCCTCCGCTCCCACCACCCCCACCCTCACCCAGGTCCCCAAGTGTGTTATCAAGTGCTTTTGTGAAGACAGGCGTGCCAGAGGAGGAACAGGCGGGTCTCTAAGCAGAAGTAATAGTTCACACGGTCACCAGAGAATTGGTGTCTGGAGCTTCTGAGTTGTAACCTGTTCCGGTGAGAAGGCAAAAAGGAGGGCCAAGGAGGGAATGCTAGTTTATTTAGTTGCCTTGCCTCAAGATTCAAGAGTTATTAGCCATTCCTGGTCCCCACCCCCCCCCCAGCCAGTGGTAAGTTTTGAATAGGAACAACATCAAAATTGGAATGTTGCTTATGATGTTAGCTTATTCTGTAAAATAGAAGTACACTGAAACCTGCAAAGCTGCATGAATTCTCATGACCACTCACCACCTTTATAACCTCATCTAAAAAGAACTTAAAAGTAACTTTTGAAAACCAAACTCTAGGGCTGTCTCGCTGGCCCAGTCAGTAGAGCATGTGACTCCTGACTCCTCCCTCAGGGTCATGAGTTCAAGCCCCACATTGGGCATGGAGTCCCACTTTTAAAAAAATAAAAATAAAAATTGAATTCTAATGATACTGGGCTCCGTGTTCATCTTTTTTAGCTAATTAATAATCTTGGGAGCCAAATGAGGTGTTCAAAGTTCTCTTTGTTCACACTCACATAAGTATCATTTACCCAACAAGTATTTATTGGACATCTAATAGGTTAAAAGAGTCCTGCTATCAAAACTAGAGAGAGATGCCTCTCCACACCCACTTAGGATGGCTAAAATAAAAAGGATAGATGCAAGTGTTGACAAAGGATGAGGAGAAATTGAAACCCTCATACACTGCTGGTGGGAATGTAAAATGGTGAGGCCACTTTTAAAAAACACCGTGGCAGTTCTTCCTCAGAATGCTAAGCATAGCTTTGCTGTACGATCCAGCCATTCCACTTGTAGGTACACACTTAAGAAACGAAAACATATGTCCACACAAGAACTTGTACACAACTGTTCCAAGTGGAAACAATCCGAATAACCATCAATTGAGGAATTAATAAACAAAATGCGGTATATCCATACATGGAGTTATTAGTCAAAAGGAATGACACAGGGACACACGCTACAAAATGGTCAATGTTGAAAACATACTAAAGAAGCCAGACCCAAAAGGACAGATATTATATGCTTCTGTTTATATGGAATATCCAGAATAGGCCAATCTATAGAAACGGAAAGTAGATTACTGGTTAGAGTTGATAACTTAGAGGGATATGGGGATCGACTACTAATGTGCACGGCGTTTCTTTCTGGGGTGATGAAAATGTTCTAAGATTGATAGTGGCGATGACTGCACACTCTGAATATACAAAAGCCACTGAATTATGCACTTCAAACGGATGATTTGTATGGTAGGTAAGTTATGTCTTAATTAAGCTGGTATGTATATACATCACGAAATTTTTAAAAAAGGAATTGTGTAAAAAAAAAAAGGAATCGTGCTAGATTCTCTAGCAGAGAAGTGGCACAAATATGGATAATTTATACCCATGCTTTAAAAGAATTTATAGTCCAATTCTCTGCATCCACATGAAGTAATCATGAAATGCAGACCAACCAATATTACGGACCATTAAATCGGTTGCAAGATTCAGGGGTTCCAAAAAAAGGAGATCACTTCTATAAAAAGCAATCAGGGAAAGCTTCATGGAGGAGAAAGCCAATGGAGCTGAGCCAGGGAGAACAGCTAGAAATTTTGTAGATGGAGACTGGGATTAGAATCAGCAGATGCAAAGGCATGATTGTAGCAAGTCATGGGTCCTGTTCAGGATGGAATCTAGTATGGCCAGATTATGACATGTACAGGAATATGCAGGTGACACGACCAAAAGGTAAACAAGCTGAAGCTCTACCCACAAAGAATTCTGAACACCATCCAGGGAAAACCTCAGGTATGAGGGCCT